TACGTTTTTACAGGTCATGTGTATCATTTCTGTATTATTTCGAAAAAATAAAGTATATTAAAAATATATTTTTCTGTGTTTGGCTTTTAAAAAGTCTATTATTTTTTACCTAAATTGGAACCAAGATTTAGAGGGTTCCAAATTTGGTCATTAAAAATATACTTTTTTTGTATTATTTTAGTATTTTTTTCTTGTATTATTTTTGTATTCATTTTCGATATGGGCTAAGGAGATTTCCACAAAGTTGATGTTCTGATTTGCACAGTTTCATCAGATTGTACGTTGTCCTCACAAACATCAGTGAGAGAGTTCAAATTCATCATACACTGTGCAGCTCGAGATCATATACCCTTGCGATGATTTTTCCATCCAGAACAATTACATATCACCCAAGTTAATTATTGTAACATTCCTGATTATCTAATTGTTGCAAAACACTTTGTATAAAATATCATGATTAATGCTTTCTAGAAAAATATTTTTTTTTTAAGTTATTAAAACCTTTTCATGTCAAATATGCAACATTATGAACATACCTTAACAGAAACTTTATTGATACCTTCCTCTACAATACATGTTTACTCCAACAGGGACCTCTTTAGACTTAGTGAAAATGTTGTCCCCAGGTTTACTTTACAAATAAGGTTTCCACAAGCTACATTGGGACACAAACCACTAGGATGAGAAAACAAAATAGTCAGTAATGCAGTCAAGATATTTTATGGAAGCTTGAATGAGTATGATGTAGGTTATATTAATTTTCAAGGAAACTAGAGGAAAACGTAATCTAAATTGTTCATCTCCTTAATCAATATAATAATGTGGAAACACTTTTCCACCGACTAGCAATTTGTGTTCAGTATCAGATATCCGCAGATTATTCTTCAGGAACTCTGAAAGTTCTCATCATCATTTACTTTACACAAAATGGTTTACTTTTCACTGCGCCCACCTTTTGACTTGAATGTTTAAAACCCTGGTGCTGAACATTTAGTATAATGCACTCTTACACAGCTTTTGTCTGCAAAAGCTGATCAACATTATACAATGATATACGTGTACATCTGAAGTCATGTATATTATGACTATCATCATTACTGGTTGATAGAAAACATAAATTTACCACTCTCCCACTTCCTGTGGGTTAAAAAATAACTTCAATGTGCATCAAGATGCAGATAAGAGATCACTTGTAAACCAAGACCCCCAAGATTTATCATTACCCTAACATCAGTAAATATAAATATTAATTAATAAAACTCACCTTTACCACAAATTCCCATTCCTCAGAATTTATTAGCTTCAGTTAAAACTATGCACAAAAGAAACTGGAAGCCTGGTAACCTAAATTTTAAAAAAACTTGAAGCAATCTATTAACTTATTCGATGTTGTAGGCATCTGGTTCATCATTTTTACTCTACAGCAAACAAAGAATTGATTTCTTTCAATATATTTCTAAAGGTTTTTTTTTTTTTTAGTTCTACTGAAAAATATGTTCAGATTTGCATATGTGAAAATTAAAATCAAAATGCAAATTATTTTATTGTTATGGAATTTCTATATAGAAAGCAGGCAGCTCAGACATCCAAGGAAGGATTGGTCCATCACCGACGAATCTCTGGTGGAAACCGCGAATGGAGAAAAATCTTTCATCATCACTGCCATACAAGCTTTTTTCATTTTAATCAACTTTATAGTACCAGCTTTAGACCGCTTGACATACGAAGGAATAAAAATGTTTGATAGTTTACATGATCTTGATTTCAATTGTAATCATAGTTTTGAAGTTTCATGAATTTGTGTTGGGTTTTCTTTGCCTTTCATGTCTACAGATAAATAAAACAAAAATTCTTACCTCTAAGTAAAAAATCGAGCAGATACGAACCTTCAGCATTTGTTTAGTTTGCACATTATTCTGTCCAAAATCTGCAATACACACAACTTGATAATTAAAAGAGAACTAGGACATCTGATTATCATACATGGAAGTTTTTAAACTGTCAGATACTTGTAATGATCTCTTCACTTCTTGTCAGAGAGATTCCCACAAGATTTTTCATCATTCAGTTCTTGAATAACAAATTCCAGATCAAATGGAACAGTAATGAGGAATTTATTGGACTAAAATTGTTTTCAGGGAATGAAAGATCTTATAACAATCAGCAGAAATTTATACTTTTGCAATTAACACCCCAAGGCCCCCCCATACATTACAGTGCTTCTGCATTAAGCAACTGGCAGTTTTCAGGATGCCCCTCCCCTTTTAAAACACGAGAAGGTTAATTTGGGAGGGATTTGTGACACCTCCCTTTAAATGCCATATTCCTCACTTGTTTTTAAACCAGAACTAATCAGAATTTTTCATCTACAAGTTTGAATATAGGTATTTGATTAATGGCAGGCAACACCGACAATGAAAGTATAATATCTAGACTCATTTATTGACCATTTCTGTACTGCATATAATAAGTAATATCTAGCAAAAAAAATCCGATTTGCTTTTAAAATCAGGTAGTTCAGACATCCAAGGAAGGATTGGTCCATCATCGAAAAATCTCTGGTGGAAACCGCGAATGGAGAAGAATCTTTCATCATCACTACCTGCTTATCTTAACCATTTTATTGGCATCAAGTAATAATTCTCATGCTCTGTAACTAATCAAGTAATTACCTTCTGACTTAAGTTATAGGTTGAACGATTTCTTTCTTCTTTTCCTACAAGTACACAACATACAATAAATTAACCATAATAAAGAGTTCACTTATTCAGACAGTACTACATTGCAGCCAATCAGATAGAGCTAATATTACAAACATCACAAATCAGCATGTTGTAAAGCTTTCATCCTTTTGACAACTGATAAAAAATTTCCAGCTATGTAAAATATTCTTACCACATTTTTTTCCAACACCATTGGACACTCATGACCAAACTGACCAAAGATGGTAACTTCAGCATAGTCTGAAAATATTACAGTATAAAAGATCAGGATGTTGTTAAACACTTGGATTATCTATCAAACCAACATAACCATGAAACACTTGGTTTTAATGGAGTACAATATTTTGTTAAAATGTTTTGCAGACACTGCAATGTATATAGATCATAAACCTGATAAACCTGAACTCAGGGGTTGACAAATCCCATTGCCCGACGCCCGGGGCTAGTGAATTTTAAGGGTGGGCAAGTGAAATTTTATCAACCACTTGCCCATGGGCAGGTCACTTGAAAGAAAAAAATCCCAATGTAAGTCATAGATTTAAGGCTTGGCACAGAGGCTTGCATGATCTTCTCAGTATTTGTCTTCCATTTTTTTTTTGAAATACATATAAATATGGTAATAGTTTATAGTGAGGCAAGCAAATATTCTGGTGGGGCAAGTGAATTTTGAACGTGCACTTGCCCTTGGACAAGTGCCTAAAAAATGTATTTGTCAGCCCCTGGAACTTGATCCATCATAAAGCCATTTATAAATTTTAGTCAACAGTGATCTTGGTCTTCCTTTGCTGCAATAATGTAGCCCTCTCCGATTTTTTTTAATCTGATATTTTCAGGAGAGGGCTACAATTCCACTACATTTCCGTAATGGTGCAAATATATTTTTTAGATACGGGCGACTGCAGGCAAAATGAATTGTTTTTGCATTCAACTTACTTCCAATAAGACGGAATTTTTATTCACAATCAACATCGTAGCCCTTTATAAGCGAAAACTAAGTAAAATAGATCTGCGTATTTACCAGTCGTTCTCCTCAGCAGCCATGACAGTTCTTGCGTGATGTACAGAGACTTGCGCTTGGATTTTAGAAGCACTTGATAAAGTAATGTCGGTGCTGATAAATGTTTGTGTTGTACGATATCACTAAACATCGATATATAAAAGCATCCCATGTGATATTTTTTTTCATAAACAGTGATATTTATGCTTAAAATGAGGGAAATCCTAAACGATCCACTCCCCTAAATCCTAATTTCTCATTGGTTGTTCCAAAATAAAATCGATCAGGGTCAGTAAACATGGCGGATAAATTCAAGTTGTGATGTTGACATACACGAAAAATAACTGATATACGGATTGTTCTGTATATTTTTGGATCAATTCATGTCTTGCATATAACTACTTTTATGAGTTCAGGTAAGATATGTTAATAAAATAACCACTTACTGATAATTTGAGCCGAAATCTGTGCGGTAGTGAATCACTCCCGCACTTGCACCATTATAAAGATCCTAAGGAGTTGTAGCCCTCTCCCAAAAAAAAAAAAAAAAAAAAAAAAAAATCAGAGAGGGCTACGTTATTGGAGCTAGGTCTTCCTAAATGTAAAATTTTTCCTTATCTTTTTAATATATGTGTACAAGTCAACAGTTTTGAATCATTTTCCATTCAGGACATTGTAAATGAACTGCAATATATGTGCATAATATCAATTGTCACATAGTTTATTCAAACAAGAGACAATGTAATTGAACTTCGTTTTAAACAGGTAGTTCAGACATCCAAGGAAGGATTGGTCCATCATTGAAAAATCTCTGGTGGAAACCGCGAATGGAGAGAAGTCTTTCATCATCACTACCTGTTGTTAAATTTATGCTATATCAACATGGCAGCATGTTATATACTGCATGGTTAAACTCAAAGTAATTACACTGTACTTTCTGAAGTTGAACTTCACGAACTAACTTTTTCACCAAGAAAAGAAAGGTCAACCACTAACAAGATTTTTTTCCCCATTGACTGGGGGTTATAACTAATATCATAAATCAAGAATGCTAAGGAGACATTGGAAAATAGCTTTGGTTCTTTCATTTCCAAATAAATACACAAAATAAAAGAAATTTCCCTCTTACCCTACCTTTTTTCAAATTCTGTCATGTAGTCCAATCAATCAAATGCTAGGACATTCACAGACACCATGCCCTGAAATGATTCATACAACTATATAAACAGAATATGCATTGAACAGTGACCAATGAAATGTCATACTTTTTTTCAGATTAAAGGGTGCATCAGCTAGAAGCGAAAGACATTTTGTGGTCTTCAATTCATTTCTGATGAACTATGATCTCATCATCTGCACTCTTTAGGTATTTTCACTTAAGCTATTGCCCTTTAAACTGTATATAGTTTAAGAATACTGCAGTCTGTTTCCAATGGTCATATCCTGAAATAAACCAGGGCTGTGTTCAAGATATTACAACCAAGTAGATGTTACACAATCCTGGATGATATGCTAGCCTAGCCATAAAAAGTGTTAATTCATTCAATACGACTTGATATCTAACCTACCAGGTAGTCCAGCTTCTATGATCTTGAACCCAGGCCAACATATATCTAATATTTCCTTAATTTTGAAACTCATCATTTTCAATCTTTTCAGGTCAATTTGGAGAGATGAACCTCCAAATCAATGAAATGTTGTAAAGACTGTAAAGCACATCAGCATTTAAGAAAATCATCCCTGTAGTGAATCATACAGGACAATGAAATAAATATTTTAAGTTAAAGTACACAAACAAGTGCTAAAGTGGATGGCAGTATTATTATTATTTTTTTTTTTACTAAGATGGCAACTTTAGTCCTTTGTTGACTGCGTGTCAGACAGTCTATAGGTTTGCCTAAACATGCCAGTATCTTTCTTCAGACAACTTTAAAAGTGACTTAATAAGATTCAACATTTGGAAGATTACCCTTACCAGGCCTGACACAGTCTCTTGATTAATCTAAATACTGCAGGGCTCTCACACCACTTTTGGGAATGGGGCCAGGGCCCTAAAGATTGGGAAAATGGTGACCTTTTGGGAAATTTTTGGATAACCATTATACTTTAAAATCTTTATATAATGAGTTTCTGGTCTTTGGTACCAACTAAATTTTTATTTTGCAATACAGGGGAATATTAATGGCAAGTTTAGTTATCAAATATCCAACTATATTTTCATTAATATTTGGGAGAAATGACTATTGGGAAAATTACACAATTAACTGGGCGAAAAAGATACCTTTTTTGAATTTGGGAATAATATATTGTTGAAATTAAAGTCCCGGGCGGAGCTGTTCTACATACTACCTGTATTATTCAACCGTGTAAATCTAACATTTTTCAAGAATTTTTTATCCATTACTACTCTAAAGTTACTGTAACCTATAATCGAGGATATCATTTTAACGACTGAAATATTGCAATGTTAAACAACATAAAGAAAAATACTTTTTTCGGTTATACGCACCAGGATGAAGTTAAGGTTGCATTATTCTCTGCAAGCGCCGTCCTCAGTCCACAGACCTCACGGCTGAAGCACGTGTTCGTGTAAAAGCATGCGCAGGAACTCTTTGAATAAGATAAGTCGTACTAGAATGAATGTGTGAATATAATTCTTTTTAACTTCAGAAAGCACAAAAATCTTTCTTAATGAATGCATTGCAAAATATTTTATTGTCATAATCTAACTTATCATACAGTATGCTTTTCTTAGAAAGTTTAGTAAGCGAATACGAAATAATCAATGTACAACACATTGAGAAAGTAAAAGACAAATTTTAATATGGAATAAAATTAGATAAGCTATAATAATTACATAATAACACTGGGGAATGATACTTCGAGTATATATGTAAATAGTTTTTGCTGATGAAATTTTAAATTCTCGATTGTTCTCGGCAATTCTCGATATTCCTGATTTACGTAGTTTGTCGAAGTTATACGTGTCCTTGAGATATGAATGGGAGTATGTTAAGTGTATCCAATGAAATTACAGAGTGAATATTACGCTAGCCAATGAAATTTCGACACGACTGGTAGTGCTGTAAGAAGAAACTACACGCGTGTAAGCATTCGGCATTTTATTTGACAGGTGGAAAAGATATAAGAAGTTTGGAAGAAACCGAACAAAGAACGAACCTTAATTAAAACAGACAGTAAGTAGTCAAACATTTAGATACATTTCAATAGATATATGTAAATAATGTAACGAGATAACAAACATGTTACTACCGGCATTTTGCCGGCATTTTCTCAGCTGTAAATTGAAAATATATTAAAGAAAAAAAAAGCATGTTTGAGTTGAAGTATTGACATACCAAATAAGCCAACTCGAGGTAAAATTTTATAAACCTGAAAGATGAGAAAATAGACCCTAGTGAAGTTTGGGTAGGCCTACTTAAAATTTGCCATATGCATATAAACTACGAAAAAGCCATTTATCATTAAATAGAATTGACTGTGATGTTCATTCAATACTTTATTCTTTTACCAAAGTACGTAATTTAAGCATAATATGCTGCTTTGGGTGTTTCCAAAGCTTTAGTAAAATGTGCTGCTCTGAATGTTTGTAGGTAAACATGTAATGTAGATCTGAAAGGTTACTTGCAGGTTCACTCGATAAAATTTAGTAATAGTTGGATCCATGTGCTTCCTTTTAATTAAAAGTAGAAGCTTTCTTTGAAATCTCTAAATTATTATTAAAAACTGAAGTTCAGGACAGGGACCTTATTTCAATTTTCTGTACATGTATACTGATGAAAGGTTCAAGATTTTAAAGTTGATATTCCATTTGACAGTAAGCGTGAATATTTTTAGCTTAGGAAAATATAACTGTTGCAACCTCTGTATCATCTTGTACGTTAGGCCTTATTGTATAGTACTAGCCCTGTTAAGTTGGATTGGTTAACTTAACATATGGCGAGGAATAGCAAAGGATTTGCAAAAATAGAATATACAAAATTGCTGATCTAGGAAACAAAACATTATTAAGATATTCTCCATAATTCTGACTGGTGATGGTGTAAAATTTTGATTAAATGGTGACATTTATTTTAATTATTTTAGAAATGAAGACATTGGTCTTTTTGGGGTTAACCATTTTGTTGGTTACATTGTCGAGGGCTGATGATGATGGAGAAAAGAAGAAAGACAAAGACAGTGTGGGAACAGTGATTGGAATTGATCTTGGAACGACATATTCATGGTAAGTTTGGGGATGGCATGATTGCATGACAGAGAGAATTGATCAGAGTACTGTTTATATCTCATTCATCTTTAAATTGGAAAAAAAAAATTACAAAATAAATGAAAAAGAGGCTTTTAAAATTGTGTACAATATGCTTTTTTTCTTTTATAACAGTGTTGGAGTGTTCAAAAATGGCCGTGTTGAAATCATTGCAAATGACCAAGGAAACCGAATCACCCCCTCATATGTTGCCTTCACAGCAGATAATGAGCGTTTGATTGGAGATGCTGCCAAGAACCAGCTGACGTCGAATCCTGAGAACACCATCTTCGATGTCAAGCGTCTCATTGGTCGCACTTGGGACGACAAGTCCGTCCAGAAGGACATTCAGTACTATCCTTTTAAAGTCATCAATAAGAACAACAAACCTCATATAAGTGTGAAAGTTGCTGGTGAAGACAAGCTGTTTGCTCCGGAGGAAGTCTCTGCCATGGTTCTTGGAAAGATGAGGGAGATCGCTGAGGGATTCTTGGGTAAAAAGGTCAACAATGCTGTCATCACTGTCCCTGCTTACTTCAACGATGCTCAGCGCCAGGCCACCAAAGATGCTGGCACCATTGCAGGTCTCAATGTCATGAGAATCATCAATGAACCGTAAGTGTTCTTGTTTGGGCAGTTAGAACAATCAAACTAAATATTTTTAGTAAAATGCTTGGGTGCAAGCATTATATTGTTTTAATCGCATTGTAATTAATTTTCTCTTCAATTTTAGAACTGCTGCTGCTATTGCTTATGGACTCGACAAGAAGGAGGGAGAGAAGAACATTTTGGTCTTTGATCTTGGTGGTGGTACTTTTGATGTGTCTCTGCTAACCATTGATAATGGTGTCTTTGAAGTCGTGGCAACTAATGGTGACACTCATTTGGGAGGAGAAGACTTTGATCAGAGAGTAATGGAACACTTTATTAAACTGTACAAGAAGAAGAAGGGAAAGGACATCAGGTAACTGATTTATCTATTTATTGAAAATACAAACATTCTGTGATGGATTAATGTTTTATGGTTTAATAACATTTTGCTTACTTGTGTTAATCAGGAAAGACAACCGTGCTGTTCAGAAACTCCGTCGTGAAGTTGAGAAAGCCAAGAGAGCCCTGTCTTCACAGCATCAGGCCAAGATTGAAATTGAATCTCTCTTTGATGGAGAGGACTTCTCAGAAACAATCACCCGTGCTAGATTTGAGGAGCTCAATATGGCAAGTTCTGAAGAATTGATAATACATTGTAGACATGTTTCTGTGGAAATTTATTTGTGTCTTATCTTCTGGAGATGTGTAATTTAACACAATTCTATATATTTTGAACAGGACTTGTTCAGATCTACAATGAAACCAGTGAAACAAGTCTTGGAGGATGCTGACCTCAAGAAGGAAGACATTGATGAGATTGTCTTGGTTGGAGGTTCCACTAGAATTCCCAAAATCCAACAATTGGTCAAAGACTTTTTCAATGGAAAGGTAAGTAATATTATATACAGTATCTGAATTTCTCAGAAGTGTTGATGCAAGAGTATTTATACAATGGTAGATTAAGAAACTTCAATATTCTTTAATGTGTAACCCAATATTAGGTGCCACAAACCAGGAAAAGTTAGAATTGACACTATTGAGTGGTCAATTTCATGGAAATTTTAAGATCTAACTTTATCTTTGTCCATTTAAGGAACCTAACCGAGGAGTAAACCCAGATGAGGCTGTTGCTTATGGTGCTGCTGTACAGGCTGGTGTGTTGAGTGGTGAAGAAGACACCGGTGATCTCCTTTTGTTGGATGTTAACCCCTTGACCATGGGTATCGAGACTGTTGGAGGTGTCATGACCAAACTTATCCCTCGTAACACTGTTATTCCCACCAAGAAATCCCAGATCTTCTCAACAGCTGCCGACAATCAGCCAACCGTGACCATCCAAGTCTTTGAAGGAGAACGTCCAATGACCAAGGACAACCACTTACTTGGAAAATTTGACTTGACTGGAATTCCACCAGCACCACGAGGTGTTCCACAGATTGAGGTGACATTTGAGATTGATGTTAATGGTATTTTAAAGGTTACAGCTGAGGATAAGGGAACAGGCAGCAAGAACCACATTGTCATCCAGAACGACAACAACAGACTGTCACCAGAAGATATTGAACGTATGATTAATGATGCTGAGAAGTTTGCTGATGAAGATAAGAAAGTCAAGGAAAAAGTAGATGCAAAGAATGAACTAGAAAGCTACGCATATTCTCTTAAGAATCAAATTGGAGATAAAGAAAAACTAGGAGGTAAATTGAGTGACGAGGATAAAAAGACAATTGAGGAAGCTGTTGATGAGAAAATCAAGTGGATGGAATCTAATTCCGATGCTGATGTAGAAGACTTAAAAGCACAAAAGAAAGAACTGGAAGAAGTAGTGCAGCCAATAATGAGCAAACTTTACCAAGGAGCTGGTGGTGCTCCTCCCCCATCAGGAGAAGAGGGAGCTGATGAAAAGGACGAGTTATAAAAACAGTTTATTATTAGGTTATTTGGACACTTTCCATTTTTTATCTCCATTTTTCATTATCATATGACGGCCCTCTGAAGAATTTTTTTTCTTAAAATGGTTTTCAACCAAGTGCTAAATTTAGTAGGAAATATTGGGTGCATATTTGTTTTCATTTTGTCTTAAAAATCAGAGGCACCTTCATCCTCCAAAAGTATGCTTGTGTTGGTGAATACATCATGTAGCATAATTATTTTTTTTAACGAATCATTTACTGTGAATTTCGCAACAGATCTTGTAGAAAGTTGAGTTTTGATATGGTGTACAAGTTGTGAATATGCTACCATTTCCTCATGACCATGGTGTGAAGAGAATGTTGCGAAGGAAAATGGTAATGCTGAATGATAATGCTGCCAAATTACTTGAGAGTTGCATCACGTAAACAAAGTTTATTATTATTTATTGACGGCAGTGTGTGAATGTTGTGTTATGTGGCTGAATTCTGAGAGTTGATGTAAATTTTGAACAAGGTGTGATGGATGAAATCCATTTATACGTGTAAATATGTTGTTGTTATGGATACATGTATATGATGGATGTTAAATAAAATACATAAAAAGTTGGATCTTTTTTACTCTTTGTAGTAAATTTTTGCTGAAATAATTTCCTTAGAATGCACATTCTATATTAAGTTTTTGCTGAAATTATTTCTTTGGATGCACTGTTCAATAAGGCTGAGAAAAGGAAATTTTACTCATCGATGAATGTTGACCAAATTTGAATTTGGCTTAAAAATGGATGGCAGGGCAATGAAGCAGGAGATTAGGAAAGATGTATCTAATCTTGTATTGGAGAACTTTAAATGGCCAATGTATAACTTTCAGCTAATTGGGGGAAATTAAAAGAGCAAAATCGAGCCTGGCACTTTCATTATAAGCATGATTTGCACACTGTTTATGGAGTTTTGATTCTCCATGTTTACAGGTACATTCTGTTCATAATCCAAATTTTTAAGCACAGATAAAAAAAATCCAAATAGAAATCTTCAAATGTACAAGTATTTTTTCTAAATATTTCAAGAGTGTGAAATCGGTTTGAAAGAAATGTAGGTACCGGTACATACAATAATGTACTAAATTATTATTAAAAAATGGCATAAAGAGGGAATATGTCATTCATTCGTCACATTTCTAAAATTTAAACAGAGAAAGCCATTTCATCCAATGGGTTATTTTTCTTTGGAAAATAGCGTTCAAAGCCATCGCTCACTTCCATTTTCGGATTTTTGTTGTGTAAAAATCTGAGAAAAATCACATTTCTTTAGATCTTAGTGGGCGACTCATTTGCAATTGAACTTGTAGTGTATAGTATACACACAGGAAAACGTTTATGCTGGTCACTCTTGTCTATGAATAGTATTTAATGCTGAACATGATTCGTAAATGACAGAGATCTATGTTTGTCTACCATATTGCTCTGCATTTTCTGTTAGCTGTACAGCCCCTATATAAGCTGTTCACTTGGTCTAGGTTCAGTGTAATCAGTTTTCACCAGTGTGGATGGATGTATTCTATATAGCTAAATTGCAAAACATTCAATAGCAATAAAAGTAAATGTGTGCTAGAAATTTACTAAAGAAACTTGCATCAGTTGCACAAGTCAGTGCAGTATAAACTAAAAAGCAAATACACGTAAACTGCAATAATCGAGGGTAGTTAAGAAAACCAACATGAATATGGGTCATCCATTCCACGCAGGTACAGTACTCTTGACAAGAAAGCAGTCAGGTGTAACAATTGGGAAAGGTATTCCCCAGAGCCAATATCGGTGATAGGAATACTAATACGGTGTATGCCTATATACTTGTGAGTAATGTTCAGTTCAGCTTTTGTGTACAAATACAGTGTATAAGGTATTTTTAACCTCTTTTTTTTCATCTTTTATTTACAAGTCTATCTGACCAATAAAAACTATAATTTAAAGTACTTTTTGTATTATATATTAAAAATTATTGCATATTTCTTTTATTCAACTGGCCATGATTAAAATGCTAGATATATTTACTTTTTTTTGAATACAGGAAAAACAACTATGACATCACATGCGAGCTAAATAAGTGATATAAGATATATTTAGAATCTCTGCTACCAAGCATGCAAGAAAATTTTGTTTCCTGTTTCACAAAACGTCTCACCATGCACTGATTAAATACCACCTGTGTAATCACATTCAATCAATGAGTACTTTAATACCAGATTGTATATCTTTGATGCAGTGTAGAGAAACTGAGGAGTGGATTAATCTATTTCCATTGTTAGTATACTCACATGAACATCAAAACTTTCAAATATTTTATTAATAAAATAAGATTTCGAAGTAAAAGAAATTGATAAAAAATTTACTCAAGAATCGATGATTTTAACAATGTTTTAGACCTATATATAATCAGAGACTAGTCAAATTAATTCATGTGACCATGTGTGACAGTGTCCTACTCCTTAATTGTAGAAACATCAACAAAGTATATTTTGAAAACCAATCCAAATGCCGCTTTTATGAATATTTTCTTTTCCTGGATGTTCAAAAAGAGGTGGTCATTAAAGAATAACAAGCATGTCTCAGCATTGTTTTTTAACAGTTATCAAATTTACTATAAACTCACCTGAGTCAAAGGGTCAGGTGAGCTTTTCTTATTAAAATTTGTCTGTTGTCTGTAGTGTTTCCTCATAAACTTCTCAAATTTTCCTCTTCAACAGAACTTGACAAATTTCAACCAAACTTGGCTCAGAATATCCTTTGGTGAAAGGGATTAAAGTTTGTTCAAATAAATTAGGAACATGTCTCTTCCAAGGGGAGATAATCAAGAAAAGGCAAAATTGGCAAGGGATGGGGGGGGGGATTGTTCCAGGTCATTTTCAAAATTAATCTCCTCCTCAAGAACAGCCAGGTCAAAAAAGATGAAACTCTTGGGGCTAGGATTGGGCTACAATATGGGGTCAAATATTCGTTAGAATAAGGATGGAAAGAAAATTGGAAAGAATTTTTTGAAAAATTTTCCCCAATCTAATTAAAATTAAATCTTTGATCTGCTCCAACTAGATTGCTACACAAAGTAGCAATCTAGTTAGAGCTGATCAAAGATCTAATTTTAATTCGATTGAATTTTCCTCTAATAAACAGCAAAACCAATGTGACTCAGGTGAGCATATGACCCATGGGCCTATGTATATTTTTTTGTTTTATGGTTGGGTATTTGAAAAAAAAAATGTCTTTTCTAAAGATTGACTGGATTCATAAAACTTACAAGGTGATACATGTATTAAGAAATCATGAAGTACTCTCGGCATGCATGTTGTAACCTCAATTTTTTTTCTACATTACATCCTTATCTATTTCATTGCCTGATATCAAAGTAAAATCACATGTATTTAAACTGTCAAAAACAACATTTCTTAAAGTTTGAGATCTTTATACTCATAAATTTACACTCATGAATACATTCAACTATGTGCTATGGAAATGAATACTTTGTACTGCTACAAAAATGCATACACATTTCAGTATTAAAAAATATTAGTCAAACATGTTATACAATCTTAAGTTTTATATATGATATCATTGTAACAATGTAATGAAAACATGCAATTAAAATTAAAATATTTTTTTTAAAATAAATGTTTTTTTTACAATTTAAAAGGATCATTATCAAAATGTTCAATTTTAACAAGTGCATTCACAAGGTGAATATTTTTAAAAATACTTCCAGAGGACTAAATTCTTTGTTCATTTAATGCATCCAATTCATCGTATTTTAATACATGTATTTGCAAGATGAAAGTGTATTGTGGTACAAATCTGTCTGTAAATAGAATGAAAAGACCTTTTTATTTTTTATGTTTCTAGGAATAAATTTATTATTTTTTTTCAAATTTTGAAGACATTGAAATGCTGTCTGTGATGTTAATTGTCAAAACATATATAAGTAATGGGCTATCTCACTCATTCAAAAATAATCACCTTAAATACTTGACATGATACAACTTTTTTTAAGAAAAAAGGTGAGGCCCAGTTTTCTCTGCTTCTATCACTTACATTACAAAAATGACGCTCAAAAAATTGTGTTTATGATAGAATGATCTGAATGAAATGACGTGAAAAAGCATCTACAGGTACATTGGGTAAGAACAGTAAGATATTGATAATTTATTTCACTTTACAATTGTAACATAATAATTATGAATGCATGTTATTTGTTGTATTCTAGGCAGTCTTCAGAGAAAATGTTGCTCACATGATGAATTTATGAAATAGAATTACATACATAGGTATAAGGTATCAAAGAAGATCTATAGCGAATTTTTTGGGTCTGTGGTATGAAAACTTTGAGAACACAACTTTTTATGGCACTGCTTCTGTATAAAGTTGGTCATGACCCATTATGCTGTTCTGGTCCACTAGGTATAACTGTAACAGTAGGTATTAGGATTGTTTTCAAGGTGTGGTTCAACTGCTGGATTTCCTCATCCTGTTTTTCGTACATTTTTACTGCTTGGGTAAATCGAATAATACCTAAATAAAACACAATTATAACCACTTTTCAATCCATAATTTTCTACAGTGCTCCAAAGATCCCAATTTCAGAAACATACAAAAAAACCTCAGCAATTACCCTACATAAAATATAAGTACACTTACTGTAGAGTGTCTACTTGCAAATATTTTATTCTCACACTTATTTTTTACTATTACTAAATAAATGATCATATAGAACAATAACCAGAATTTGTGAAAATTTTGTCTTGCTTTTAAATACCAAACAACTATCTCTCAAAAAGAAGGTGTCGCAAAAATTAAGTGACTTACAGGATGTGACATATGTATGCATAAATAGTTTAAGGAACAACTGTATCGATTTAGATGAATACAAATAGATACTGTGTATTGAGCTTGTTTAAATGAAAACCTATACCTTCTCCATCTGCTGGGAAACCATATCTTTCTATAACGTCCATCTGAATGTTTGTGGCCACTGGGAATACAATTTGCATACATCGCAGCATATCATTCCCAGCAGCAACCTTTGCTTCTTCTAATCTCTGGAAGTTATCTCCCTCTTTGAAGGCATCTAAAATATCATTTAAGGCATCTGAAAAATTAAAAAATTCAAAGTCAATCAAATGATACCAGTATGAAAAATAAATACAATATGAAAATTTAGAATACCAAAGATGATTCTTTCCATGTTTCAAACTAAGAATGAAAATTAAATTCTTACAAGTAAAATATATTAAGATTTCAACTACTGTGGAGCATGGAATCATTGTTGATCATGGGGGACCAATCTTCATGGATTGGTCACCCTTAAGAATTTAAATCAACATGAACAATTATTTTCTGAAGAGAATAATAGTAAACATCCACTGTGTTTTCTCAGGGAGCATAAATGACTGCAATTCTTTGACGATTGTACTCCTTGTATTATGGAATTAGATACCTTGTGTTACTTTTAAACTACAATCAATGGAGGTAAATGTTATATTACAGAAACAAGTACCTATGATATGGGTCCCTATTTAACAGTGTTTAAAAAAAATAAAACTTCTTACATAAACAGCTGAAAAATGTATATTGTAAATTGTTCTCATATATGGGGACTCCAAAGATAAGAATGAATATTACACTAATGGTAAGTTAACAACAAAACTTTACAATGAACATGATGACTTCAACTTTTCTATCATCAACTTCCCTTACTTATGTAGCAATATACCCTTATCACCTACATACTGGGTTTATATCTCCCAGTTCATTCAATACACAAGAGCATGTGCCATGTATGAAAAATTTCTTTAAATGAGGCAAGCTATTGACAAACAAGTTGATGAAACAACAGTGTTCCAGCTAGGGTGAAATGGAGGGGTGCTGCGCCCTCTAATCAGTGCTCCCCTCTGCCCCCACAGGTGCCCTTGTGTCCCCTTTTAGTGCCCTGTATCATTCTGACTGTCCTTTTCCCTTATTAGAATAATTAGTCTGTTCTAAAGTAGATTACCTAGAGACAATCAGCAATTCACACCTCCTGCCAATTACAGTACCTATCTTGGTGTGGAGAAATAAATTGTAAATGTAGTTCTTGCAGACTCCAGACTTTTAAGCCTCATACCTGATGTCTCCCCCTTTGTAGCTTACTGTTTGTTGGTTTTAAGTTATGATTTTACTATATTAGTGCTATCTTAACCCCTCTTTTTTTTTTCTTTTTTTTTTCTTTCTTATATATGTGTGTGCATGATCTTTGTTATATATGTGTGTGTTTGTGTGCTTTCTTATGTTGTGTCTTTTATGTCCTTTTTATGTGTGTTTACCAGTGTCTTTAGTTCCATTCTTGTGTTTTATGTGCTTCTGTCTATGTCAAATTTAAGCATGTTTTCTCTTATATGTATATGTACATTTTATTTGTGCTAAATGTGTTTCTATGTTACTAGTCGGTAAAAGAGCCTTAAAGCTCATGTTTTTTGTTAAATGTATATATTCCGACTATAAATAAAATTTACTACTACTACTATGTACTATGCAGGTGCCTTTTTTTTCAATTACAGGTGATTAGGTAATTACTTTGATCACTTGACAGTCTGAATAGGGTGTAAAAGCTGAAATACTTTGAGAATGTCCAAGCTATCTGTTTTAATATAAAACAGGAGTCTTGTCTTATAGCTTTCTACAATTAAAATAACGAAAGTGAAAGTAGCATTAACATTGACCTTTAATATTAACTATAAATTGTTGACGTTTTTTCTGAAAAATGAAGGAATTTAATATCTAAATAGCATAGAAACAAGTATAAAATTTTTTCAATTATTTTTTCCTTAATTAGGATTTTTGACACTCTGAAAGGAATTTTAAAAGATTACAGATAATATGTAATTGTGTTCCATTTCAATGGAGAAGTTAAAAAATTAATTTAATTAATTATCTGCCACCAACCTGATCAATATGAAAAAACAAGCAATATAACCTACAAATACTGAATCTATTTAATATATTTGCCAGATACATGCATACTCATTTAGCTATAGTACATGTAGATCTACATGTACTGCAATAATATGAGACACCAGCTAGTTTATATGAATTATGGTGCTATTATTGAAAATAGGAATCAAGAATAGAAGATGATTTAAAAAGAGAAAGAAAAGTAACATTTATCCTAAGATGATCTTTAAAATTCTTTTTTATATGTTTACATACCAGCTATAAATTAGTATGTGTTTATGTATCTTTCAAATCAATAAGGTTAAATAAATTAATAATATTTGAAGGAGTTCAGTAACAAGGTAAAATAAATTAATAATATTTGTAGGAGTTTATTATTATGAGGGTGAAGTAATGAGATACGACTATGTTACAAAAACTCTCAACAACGGTATGTCGCAAAAAGCGGTAAGTCGCAAAAAGTGCCCTTCTCTTGCACCCCTCCATTTTCAGATCCTAGCTGGAACACTGAACAAGGATATCAACAGTTTCATTTTAAGTCATCATTTTGCAAGGTCTGGTCAATACAATGACCTTGTCAGTAAATACAATCTATCATTAAGTCGAATGCTGACTGATGTTTTTTCATACTGACTGTTCGGTCATTATTTAAACACTGAATTGTCCATGGATTTTTCTGTTTGACCGATCATGACAATGAGCACATGGCGGGTGTGACCAGTTGACAGGGGATGCTTATTCCTCCATGGCATCTGATCTCACCTCTGATGTTCTTTAACAGGTCGAGGAATCTACCATACATGGACATTGTCGTCATTGCGCACAGAGGTGCTTACAGCGAGCAATCGTCCAATCCAATGAATGAGCCGAAAAGCATGATGGTCTACTACATGTTTATATTTTACTACAAACATGTGGGTCAGGCAAATTTAGGAAGCGATTTCAAATGATTGCAGGAAAGTCAACTAATAATTATTTTTAATGTTTTTGTGAAAAACTAGAAGAATAGGTTCTATTTAAGATTTTCCATGCTCACATTAACTAACAAACTTTAAGTCAATTTTAAATAGATGTTGAAATACGGCTCACAAAGTCTTCACAAGTAAATAAGAACCCAGTTTTTATAACTTGATATTCGTAAATTTGCCATGCTACTGGTGTTATTCCTTGTTACTTTGTTATTTGTTTACTAGAAATTAAAAGTTAATGCAGTTATAAAAAACGTAAGTCTATTACTGTACGGTATTTTAATTCTCAAGTACATTGATCATAGAACGTCTATTGAGTAGCATATATATCTAAGTTGTATACGTAGTAAACAATGACAATACGTGAGTACACCTCATTATCGATTTGTTTTGGATCAGGGAATAGTCACGTGAAATTCATACTGACTGATAGTACAGCTGCCAGGCTATTGTCAACAAATGGACTTACACAATGGAGTGAGAAAACCCAAATTTTACCGTTGTGAAACATTTGTATGTAAATGTGAGCATGGACCAAGTAGATAATGATGTACATATTATATTAAGTGTGTAAAATGCTTGGAAAAATGCATCATGTCTTTCCGAGAGCGATTTCAAAAACTGGCCTTTTCGAAACGTACATGTAGTATTTTTGTAGTAACCCATAATGCAACTCATTTAGCTGATTGGTCAGTTTGCAAGTCACGTTGGGTGCCTCATTTATCATGTAAATTTATTCTGACGTCACAGAAAATAGTTTCCTCGACCTGTTTAAGGTATTCAATGTATAATGAAGGGATTTTGAACAATTTTGAATCATTTTAAACTAGTTAAAAATGCATTGCTAGATAACGACGAAAGTGAAATGAACCAAATTCACATGACTGATAACATATAAGAAACTGGTCATTTTGCACTTTAAAAGTTTTTGAAGAGTTATCTGCCCTTGATGCAAAGAAGAAAATTTTAATTTCGTCAAAATATCTGCAGTAATTGATTAATTTTATTTCATATTTTAATAAAGAGAGAGAGTGCATGCATATTTTCACCAAGAGCTTTTTATGAAATTCAAATTACTTTTTATAATATCTTAATAACACATGCATTGTCCATAGACTTCAATGTAAAATTCAAGGTGCAATTAATTTGACAGTAATCAAATTTTCGTAATTTTCTTTGGTGGAGTATTTTTATTTCATAACACCTTCAAAATGATACCATAATTACAAATATCGGACCATTCATTTATTAGATACAAAATATGGTCGTTATACATTGAATACCTTAAAGGTCCTTACTTGCTCTGCTCCCGATTTGTATAGTTTAAATGGACTTTTGAGTTTGATTACTGTTCGTTATCTCCATATTTCACTGTACTGATGTCCACATTCGTATCAAACTCTAAACTGAGATCATATGGGTTACACCAAAGGACTACATTTTAGAAAATAAAATCCACATACTTCTACAATCCTGTAATGAAAAATGTTGTATGGGGGCTGCCATCTTGCAATGAAAATGATATCTCAGACATTAATGTTTCGGAAGAACGAAACTTTTTTTGTCGTAAATGTGAACAAATTTCCTGAAATGTCAAAAGTATTAAAAAATATATATTTCACACAAAATGAAGTTGTTTTTTCACACAGGTCTATTCAGAATGAAGTACTCAATATGTATCAACGTACAATTTACCCATCAATTATCCGGAAGTCATCATCAAGCATGCCTTCGATTGACGAGTACGATTTTTTTGTTAATTTTATACCAAAACTCCATAATTATGCTCTTTTGCCATTTGTAAACATTTTGATAAGAATATATTTTTTTCTAAATTTCAGTAAGCCAATAAGTTGGGCAGAACAGGTGGAGCAAGTGGAAGATGGTAAGATACCATATTGAGCGGTTTTCAATTTTATGTAGCATTTGCATACTAATTATTTATATCAGGTTTAATGTGTGATTTCCTAATTTGAATACAATGATTAAAGAGTGGAATCCCCTCATAAAATTTCAAGCCCTTTAAATGACCCCCCCCCAAGAAACCCTTTCCCCTGCAGGGTTCGACACTAACATTTTTTGGCTTTAGTCCGGCCGGACTAGTCCTTCTTTACTTTTTACTAGTACTTTTTACTAGTTAAAAATAAACTTTTCAATGTACTTTTTATACTTTTTTGAAATAAACAAAGCATTTACATGAAATGTTTTATTCCAAGATTCGTTGAAATCTCGTGATCAGGAACTACAATCTTATTCCCGATCTCCTTGGTTTTTCTCTATACATTGCATTCAAATCTCTGACAAATGTCTTATGTGTCATACTAAATCATGATCGCTATGATGTTTAATTTCATACCAATCAGTCCTAAAATTAAGCGCTGAATTGACTCGGTATTACCTAACTTCCCACCAAGAAGCTAGATAGCAAAAAAATACCTTCGGGGTTTTCCAGTGAAAGTTGTCGAGCATCGAATTTTTCCTAGAATTTTTAGTCCATTCGGACTAATTAACCACAGATTTTATTAGTCCAAATGAAAATGTATTAGTTTGAGACTAACGGAATAACTTTATATAATGTCGAACCCTGCCCCAGGGAATATTTCCCTTCATGAGCTCTATGTTGCTGTAGTATGAGTCACAGGTTTTGACACAATCTAAGGAAGAAATGGTACATAGTAATTAGTATTATAGGGGAGAACAGCCCTTACAAGCTGCAATTAATTTCTCAGTGGACACAGAGACATTAATATTAATTTTTTTTATTTATTTTTGTATAATTTTTCAAGTTTTAAAAGTATAAATTGATTATGAGAAGCAAACGAGGCAAACTAAAGTGGTCAGTGATCAGAAGTTGGTGAAATCTTGGAGATTTGGGTCATCTGTTTTGAATATATATTTTATCAACAATTTGTCAATGGAATTGGACACAAATTCCAAAAACTTAGGTAGTCCTCTTTGTATATTTCTGATTGTGGACATGAATGAAAAGGTTGTACTTCGTTGCCCTTGATATTTTAAAGATTTGTCTGATTTAAACAATGCAAGATTTGGAAAAAAATCAACAATGGGGCACACAAGACATCATGAGATTTTGAACATTCACAAATCTCTGTTATTTATGCCTTTGGTGGCTCGCTTCAAACTATCAAAACTTAAGTATTTAATTAGTAAATCAATTAAAAGTTTTCTCGGTTGAAGGGCAGAAAGTTGGTGGGTTAACAATATTGTCCTAATTCTCAGAAGTTGGTTTAATTTTTTTTTTTAAGTTTGAAGTCGGTTAAAAAGGATTTATATATGTCAAACAGGGAAAACATTCTGCTTGCAGTTGTCATTTTATATTATATAAATGTCACAGTTAATTCAAAATTTAAGTCTGGTATGATTATTGATGAATTATTATTAAATTATTGATCACTCTGTATAGGAGTCCTGCCACCATCTTCAGAGCAGTATGATGAAGAGAAAGGCATAAAAGTAATCACAGAATTCAAGTACAATGAAGATGGCAAAATGGTTAAGGTAAGTCTGATACATGTATATCATTTACTTTGCCTCTGATGGCATGAAGATACAAATTTAAAGTCTGTTTTGTTGTTGTTGTTTTTTTTTTTGGTTTAATTGTTTAAGCAGAATTTTTCACTGGTATTATTTAGTGTGGTTGTATTAAATGTACTTGTTTAAATTGTTTTCTTGATCCTCTTTTAGATTCTTAAAACATACAAAGTTGAAAAGCGAAAGGTACCTAAAAGCATTGCAAAGAGAAAGGTAATTTTTGCATATATTATATTTGTAAACAAACTTCATTAAATGGTCATACAGTCTCAAATTGTAAAATTTATGTTGCATGAAAAATATTTGAGCATGGCTTAATTGAGCAAATTCAGAGGTTAAGCAACTTTTGTGTTACAGACCTGGAGGAAATTTGGGGCAGCAGAGAGAGACCCCCCAGGACCAAATCCAGCCAACACCATTGTACAAGTAGAGGAGATTAACATGCAATTTGTTCATAACAAGGAGGTTAGTAAATGGAGATTTCCGTTGTCCAGCAGTGCATAACCTGATACTTGGCAGTTACCCTGTCCAGCTTAAGCTGATACTTGGCAGTTACCCTGCCCAGCTTAACCTGATACTTGACATTGTTAGCATAGTATTTTTAGGTAACATTTCCCTTGTCCAGCATAACTTGGAACTTGGCAGTGTCAGCATAGTATGTTTAGGTCACATGAATTTAAGGCCCTGCATCAAGATGCAAGAGCTATTTAGTAATCACTAGGTCTGTCTATCTTATCTGTCTGTCAACACTTTTATTTGATGTGATAACTTAAGTATCTTTGAATCTTCACTTAATAATGCTACAAAGCCTTGAAACAATACATACGTGTGATTCATAAATCAAGTAAAGTCGGGGGGGGGGGGGGGGGGGGGTCCTCAGGCATCCATGGGAATGACAAAATATGCACATTCAAATTTTTTAAATAACATTTTAGACAGAATGGGATTGGGATTTTTTTTCGCACATAATGTAGTTGAGAGAAATATCCTCCAAAAAGAGTAAAGCTTTATAAAAGAGTACTGGTAGGCAGTAGATATGTTGCAGATAATATTTAAAAAATAGTTTTGTGACACCCAGGTAACTTTTGGGGCTCTTGAACCTGGGAATAACTAATTGATACATGTACATGTGATTAATGACTGAAAAATTAATTGTATGACTTCAGATATTAGGCAAACATGTGCTTGGTAGTATTTTTTGTTTTATATTTTTATTGTTTCCTCTTTCCAGGAGACAGTGGAACAAGAAGAGGACCCATTACTGAAGTTGAAAAGTCAGAAATTGGTCTCCTGTCGTATCTGTAAAGGTGATCACTGGACCACAAAATGTCCTTACAAGGATACACTTGGACCTCTTCAGGTAGTGCTTGTGTGTTTGTCACTATAGTGTTTTTAAAGTTTAGTGAACCTTGATGCAGTACTAAAATAAAAAGGAAAATGAAAGTAAAGGAAAAAATATGTAATTTTCCAGTTTTTGTGAAATGTTTAGTTCTTTTATTCTTCTTATATCTCTTTCTTTGGTTTATTCTGTCCCTCAGGAGAAGCTTCAGGATGGAGAAAAGCCACCAGTGGGGGATCCACAGGGAGGGCCAGTACCAAGCCAAGCACCTGCTGCAGCGGCTCCCAAAACATCAGGAAAATATGTTCCTCCAAGTCTGAGAGATGGAGGCGGTAAAAGACCAGGGGAAACGATGGCCTCAAAAAGGGGTAAGCTACATATATTTGCTAGTCCATATCTGTAAAACTATAAAGACTCTTGGTTTATTCAGGTATGTCTGTCTACTCATTTGTCTAAAATATAATTTTTCTCAACTGAGCCAGGCTCGATTCAGCTAATGCCATTGTTGTCATTTGCAATTATCTTTGTCACAGAGTCAGAGTGTTCTTAGGACAGGGGCTTTGATTTGTACTAAAAAAGATATAAACATTTTAGAAACCCAGACTTCTTCATAGCTGCCCTTATGATTTTGGCAAAAGTTTTACAGTATGAGCATGTAAAATATGCCTTCTTTGTTCATTTTTGCGATTTTTATTTTGCTCTATCAAAAGTTTGAAATTACCGAATTTTCATAGCTGTCCGTCTCCCTTTTTAGCTCACCTGAGCCAAAGGCTCAAGTGAGCTTTTTTGATCGAAATTTGTCCGTTGTCTGTCGTTGTTGTTGTCATTGTCATAAACTTTTCACATTTTCATCTTCTTCTCAAGAACTACTGGGCCAATTTCAACCAAACTTGCCACAAAGTATCCTTGGGTAAATGAAGGGCCACACTTTCTTCGAAGGGGAGATAATTAAGATTTCATGAAAAATTAATGGCATCATTTAAAAATCTTAAGAACCACTGTGCTTGAAAATATGAAACTTAAGTTGAATCATTGTGAGGTAGTGTAGATTCAAATTTGTTCAAATCATGACCCCTGTGCAGGGATAGACATTAACTTTCATATTCACCTGCCTTTCGGGCAAGTGATCTCAAACTTTGACTTGTCCAAATGCAAAACTTGGTTGCCCAAAATTAGGAAAGAAGAAAATTATGCTAAGAAAAAAATGTGATCAAAAAACACTTATAATATGCGTTTGTAATTAAATGTATACCACTGTCCTTGTCAATTTAACCTCTTAACACACACTGCCATGCAGCAATAATTCTCCGTTTCCTTTTAATAAAAATCACATTCTTAAAAATTATTTTCGGTAGGATCTTTTTGTGAATTGTAATTTTCAGAGATATCTGTGAAGCAACGCTAAAAGAAGATAGTTGCCACGAAACGTATATTTGATCAGGATATATCATATGTTACTTATTTGTAAGTGAATAAATAATATAAATAAGTACGAAGTAGGTAACAAAGTTGTTGGAGGTTCTAGCGTATTTTACCACGAAAGAAAACAGAAAACTGAACCCGATTTTTAAATGAACGGTATAATCTAGAAACGCTATCAAGGCATTCCGAATGATGTCAGTCAGGTAC